CATGGAACCCTCGTTGAGCGCCCCACACGTCAGACCGCAATTAATTGTTGTTTGGGGAACATGAGAATGACCGCGTGCTATTGGATTCGTCTCGAATACAGAGCGATCCCTCTACTGAAGAAATGTGCGAGCAGTCAAATGTGCTGTCGAGGTCAATGTGCCCGCCTGTCCCCTAACCCAATTACGGACATCATTTTGATAAAGCAAGGTTTTGCAAAACTCGGTGGAAAGTGATGTTGGATGTAAAGTTTGTATGGATGAGTTATAAGTCTTTAGTGCTGGTACTAATAACAAGTATGGGTCTCGTATCTGTTTTATTAGAACTTGTTCTGGATTTTTGGTTCGTTGTCTGCGGGCTGCATAACAATTCCGGGAGAGGGGGAAGCTTAAAACATTTTGGATTACAGCCGACATCCTCAAATCAACAATTAAAATGTCTTAGCCCTTTAAACTCCAGTGGTAACTATATGTCCTGCCTGCTTCAAAAATAAGTAACTCTTCATTTTATAGTAACTGTGGATTCATAACGACGATCTGATAATAGAACTCTGGGACCCTACGAAGTTCTTTTGAAAGATTCAAGTCAGTAGTCGGACTAAATACGAGACTTCAGGTTAAAGAGGAGCTTAACTTAAGTATTTTCATTTAAAACCTGTCAGTGGCTAAAGAGAGAGCAATGCAAGTCTACCAGTTTCGACTGTCGGGGCGTAGTAAAAATCGAATATGAAAGTGGAAGTGGCAGTGAATGGCACTGGTTCGTTATTATAAAATATTCTTTTGTCTGGAAGCGTAGAAAGTGTTGTCCACTCTGTTCTAAAAGAACTGCATCGCTCTAGACATGTACAACATTTAGAAGCAGTGTTAAACATAGTAATTGGTTCGAGATATTTCAGATAATCAGAGGAATTTTTCGTTCGTTTTGCTCCCGGGTTTGAGAATTCTTGATACGCGATAACGAAACAGGTAAACGAAGAAAAATGACTGATTGTAAATTCCTAATTTTACTTTATTTACGGTTAAACGTCGGAGGTGAGAAAGGAATGGAATGAGAAATTCAAATAATTCTGACGATAATTTGTTTTAACGCGTCATCTAGTCGGTAAGTTGGAGAGTCTGTCAGTAGCAAGGCATTTTCAATTACAGTACCTATTTCAGATTAAATACTACCGTCGCAAAGTCGGAATTCTGCAGCGAACATATTGTTCACGAGAATTCCGTCTTTTACAGCCAACTGGTTCCAGATGGGCCTTTTCCTGAGCCCACATACAAACAACGAAGGCGATTACAATTCCCCCCTTTTCCACTCCAAACCAAAACACTACAAGTATTAAGAAAGCAGAATTTTTTGCGTGTAAGACGTTTGGTAAAGCCCATGTGTATCCGAGATTCAGACGCCCGTCTAATATTTTACTGTTGGTATCATCAGTTGCTGATCCGGGCCTCTTGGATACGAGCTCGTTTAGAAAGCTTCTTAGATCGGCTTAAGTGGGATTACGTATTAAGTTTTATACCACGGTTTCCAAGGAGAAGATCTGCATGCAGTTTGCTCAAAATTCCATTCATTAGCTGCGGTTCTCGCATACAGAAATACCCGCTAGTGAATAAAAATAATGCTTGCTAGAATCGAGTAGTCTGGCCCGCTATGCCCCAGTGCCGAAGAAGTTGCCGCTGAGTCACGGCGTTCTGTTTTCGCCTGAAGAGAAATATTGGCTTATCCTTACTACAGGGTTTTATTTTAGTAACATTTTTGCAAATTCTTTACTCAACTTTCATCAAACAAAACACCTGCCCCATTATTTATTTTAAATGTGTTTACATTTACTTAAGGTCTGTATTTATTTATTTATTTGTAAACACGAATGGGAGACACGAAAAATGTATACTCAGTTTTAATAGGAACACTTGATCTAAATAAACTACTTTGAAGACCTGGAAATAGATGGGGGATAATATTAAAATATGTCTTTGATAACCAAGGTGTATGTGGCTCGGAAAGGGCTATTGTAGAAGCGGAAATGAACCTTTGAATGTCAATGGAAGGGAGTGGGGATTTATCGGCTGTTCGAGCGACTTTCCGCTTTCAAGGGCTGATTCTTGGAGTTGATCAAACGAAATATATTTTACATTTTCATTGCTTGGTATTTGAAGAACTTAGGAATGTGTTTGCCCAGGCGCCAGAAATGCAGGTGTTTGTCATGTCTGGTTTAAATTACGAGTGCACTCAGACAATTGAAGTCTGACGAGTGTCTTAAGCAGATTTGATGTCAGACCGTGCAATTCTACCTTCGGGATCAGGAATGGAAAGTGAAAACAATGCGACAGTAATGCGTGTTTAAGCTCGTTAAAGCATCTGACGTCAGAGAGACGCAAACAGTGTGTGAATGTGGTGCGTTCTTAATTACCTTGTCCCTGGTTGTGTTCGGGAGCAGAACAATTGAATATAATAACGAGCAGAGCGAAACGTGGCGATAAATAGCCTCCGTTTTTATACGCGTCACCAGCACCCGTTGACGCTGAATTTCCCTCAGAGAAAGTTGCTTTGTTTATACATCGGGTTGGTGCTTGGGGGTCGGCACTGCGATCCGTTCATTAAAGCACGTAATAACAGTGTTCACGAATTAACTGTTTTGAAGTGAACGCTCTGACATTAGTTAAACATATCAGCTGTCTCGCTCGAGAATGTCTATCTTCAGACGTCAACTGATATTTTAAATTAAATGTCAGTGATTTATTTATTTCCTGTTTGCAAGCCAGGTGTGTTAATTACTTCCTTCCTTCTGTTTACCACGACAGACGTTTTGTGTTTTACCAACTGGAGACTCGAGTTCCTCAGGGTGTTGAAAGTGCGATTTGTGGTCTAATGAGTTGTTAAGACCGTGTAGCCATGCTGGTGGTTGCGGAGGAATGTATCACTCAATCCATCTTTAGGTTAATTGCCTAGAAAATCGCGGTTTGGCATGTTCACCACACTACGGCCATCAGCAATGCAGAGCCCGGTGGTAGCACGTGTCCAACCTTCTTTAACAATAATTAACTCTTGCAGGCTGTGTGTTTCATTTCTTATTTTATTTTATGTATTTATTTATTGTTTGGTTTTTGTAAACAGCGAATAGTTGCTTAAATAACGTTAAGTCGATATTTGAGGTAATGAAGTGTTGTTTTTCCTTCGCGTTACGGACTGAATTATTAAATATTATTTCGACGAGTTTCTACTTTAAACGGTTAAATATTTACAGACCTATAACCAAGCTGTTTCATTACATATTTTCGTAAATTAACCACGAACTCTACCAGTCCTTTGCCTCTTTGCGCAGAGGCCGAATATGCCCCCCCCCCAAATATATATAACATACACACACACACTATATATATATATATTTATATATATTGCTGAATTTTATCCTTGCCCGTAAAGAACCGTTTAGGCAAAAAAGTAGCTTCTTAACTTTATTTACTGTTGTGTTCATTTGTCGGTATTCATAATGAATTGATTTTGGTGGCGGCCGCTTGGAAGGCTAAGACGTAGATTGTAGGATAATATTAAATTGGATCTTGGGGAAAATGGAAATCAAATGTCGCGGTTTGAGTTGTTAGACCTCCTTCTCGATGTATGAAGTATGATGCGACTCATTACCACGCACTTTGTAGCTTGCACAAAGACCACCGAATCTGAAAGCCGGAGGAGAATTTCTTGTTGGAGACAGAATATCGCGCCAAAGACGTAATGATCGTCGAATTTCCAAACGATCTGGAATGGCTCAGTGTTCTAACGAAGCCTCCGTTGACGTTCTTTTGTTCTTCGCTGTGTGATTGTTTGTAATAAGGACATTCTGAAGGTTGCGGGGGTGGGGGTGAGGTGGAAGGCAGGACAAGGAGTGGCGTTAGTGATCAATAGCGACGTGACTGGGGTCGTTCAGCCCTCATGGCATTTGGGAGGCCTTTCAACAGTTGGTGGACCTCTTTTATGTCCTGAAATTATGACAGGACGACTTAGTGTCCTTGCGCCTGTATAATTTATTTACATCATTGAAAACGATTTTTCCTTTTCGGCTTAACCATTCAAACTCAGTAATAGCTACGTGGACCATCTGCTTTAACATCCAGTAACACTGAATTTTGAATTTGTGTCTCTCGTGTGACTCTCACTGTTTCCTTAAACAGCGTCGACCAGGTGTTCTTTGTAATGGTAAAGTGCTGTGTTTTCTTCGCGGTACGGACTGAATTTTTAAATATTATTCAGACGAGCTTCGGCTTCATAGGACGAAATGAAAGAACATCATGGCCAGTGTGGCAAGTAGAATTACAAGGAACGCACTTGAAAAATGCAGGTACTCCACAGAAGTTCATATTTCCAGTCTACTTTCTCCATAACCGAGATGTTTTGCATCAGAAGCGGACTCAAATGTTTCTGGCTTCCCTTTTTGTTGGCGTGGAACTGCAAGCCAGTCACTTTGTTGTTTATAGTTGCATTACGAGCAGCGAAAAATAAATGAAGTCTCTTATTTTAACTTGTAATTTTAAGATCAAGTTTGTAAAATGACGCCGTATCAAGTTAATAGATTATTTGGTGTGGAATTATATGAGATAATTATCACATTAGGTGAACTTCAGAGCTGGGGAGGAAGCGGTCGTAGCCTGTTTAAGGCGCTCACCAAATAGTCTGTAGGGACTAAGGAAATTCGTGAAAGTTATCCATCAGGATAGTTGATTTCCCGGTCACGAATTGAAAGCGGGGAAGTACGAAGTGTTAATGATAGTCACCTGATCAGTACTGCAGTTCGGGACTCGGAGTAAGGGTTATGCGTCATCGATATTGAGAGTGGTGGGTCCCTGTTGTGAGGGAGTCGTACGGTGCAGCCTTACCCAGAATATCAACAAACGGATTACCGGACTGAAGTAATCCAACACGACTCCGGCTAGAATGACCGAAGTTCGATCCGTGGTCTTCATTAAGAGACAAGGAGGAGCTTCCGGTCCGGAATGGTGGACGCTTGCGCGGACGGTGGGGGTGGGGGGAAGCGAAATGTTTTGGGAGTTGTCAGTGCACCTGTGGCTGGCTGTGTAGGCGACCCGCGCAATGTTATGAACACTGTGTGACATCGACTGGTTTCGACTTGCAGACGCTCAGGTCCACCCTGTTGACTGTCGAGAACCTGCTTCAAGAAAACCACAGCAATGCTCGGCTGCGTCACAATTAGCGTTGTCGCCTGGTTCGTCCTCATTCCTGCAGATGGCGGTGAGTACATGCATTTAATTGTTTGCTCAGAACTTGCAATGCGCAGTGTCGTTTGCCTTCCGTCATGTACTAATATGCGGATGGATGAGTGAGTGCGTTTCAGATTTCAGTTTACATGTCCTTAAATTTTCAGTCGTCCTTCACGAGATATCTGTCGAAAGGAGAAATTTAATGAGTTAGTTGCATTAGGTTCACAGTCCATCTTGATTACAGTTTCTACGTTTATTAAGAATCCGTTATGTGTTTAAACCTCAGTTGGTTATTTTAGAAAGAAAAACCAGTTTATTTTTAATTTACGAGTGTAACTAGACAAAAAAACTACCTGTAGTGTTGAATAACGTTAATTTTAAATGAATTTCAATCATGATTTGTAGCAGTCAGGCCATGAACCTATTCGGAACTGCTGATTAGGGGCATCGAAACCCAAGAACGTCGTTAATCAAGCGCTGGTTCGTGTGTCTGTAGCGACGATTGCTGAGCGCGTTACGCGGGATGCATGTGGTCAGAAAGCTTTGCATCCTCTTAGATCTGTGTTTATTTAATTATCACACGGTAATTTATAGTATAGAAATGTTTAGTGGTAACAGGACTGAACCGAAACACGATTTATCGTAGTGTAACAGCCGTGTTGTTGGACTGCCTTCTCAGTGAATCCTGTTGGGTTAATTTCTTTTTTTTTTTAGAGGAAAAACCTAGTCCTGATTACTCGAGTGCGCTGTGCAAGAAGTCCACGGCTTTAGGTACTACTAAAGATGCGGCTTTATTTGCAGAAGCAGAAAAGACGACTCGCAATTTTTCGCCCTGGGAATTTGATGTACGTTTAAAAAACTACATTACCAATAGCCCATTAAAATGTTTGTGCAGATTGATAGAACAATGAGCGAATAAAGAATTCGATGGGATGTGGAAGTGGTCGTGGCCTAATTAATGAAATATATCGGAATGTGCACTGAAGGGACTGAGGAAAACCATAATTAAACTACCGTCAGGATATCAGGGCGTCACTGGACTTAGGCAGAAGTTTGCAGTCAACATGTCATGACCTTTGACGTGCAACAGGCCCCCCCCCCCCAAAAAAAAAGTAGTGAGTTTCGCTTGCATTGGCGCTTCGTTCCGAGCAGTTTGTAATGAGAACAGTCTCTGCCTTCATCTGCTGTCTTCCCTCTCTTTCATTCGACTGCTCGCCAGGGATGCGTTTTAGACTAATGCATTTCCTCGAATGGAATATCTGCGATCATTCATTCGGAATTCTGAATTAGGTGTTCATGTCTCGTCACCAAAACACAGGAAAATCTCATAAGGGCAGGTAATAAATCCTTCGAAAAAATGCCATTCACTCCAGTTCGTTATAGTTTTTACGTTTCCTCTCAGTGCTTGAGTTCCGTCTTCAAAATTTCACGAACAGGAAATTTATACTTCTAGTCCGCATATTACGTAATGAAAAAAGTGTAAATAATTCCCTAAACCTACTTTCTGTTTAAAACTGCAAATCGTGTAATTTGGTTTAAAAGGTATAAGACCTGCTACGTGTTCAATAAATCTCCGAGTGTAATTCTACGGCTGCAAATGATGATGATGATGATGATATGGAGATCATTAGGATAAAATCAGGGAGGTGGACGGAAAATGCAGTGCTCATGTGGGAGGATAATATTAAAATTGAACTAGGGCTGGGGGGGGGGCATGGATTTGATTCGTCTGCTCCAAAATAGTGATCTGTCGTCTAGGGCTCTTGTGAACACCGAAAGAAGCTAATGGTAACATATCTGCTAAAGAAGGACTCTGTTCCATGGAGTTGTTTAACAACGTGAGGAATAAAATTGTCTTGAGTTAGACTGTCGTGGCCTGTTTGACGTATTATGCTGGCATTAACCTGTAAATATTTAGGAAATCCACGATAAAGCCTGAGGCCAGTCCTCAATGGCTGTAGTTTCGGTTGGAGTAACCCACACGTATTACTCGAATTTGGCTGACGGACGGACATAAAGCGTCCGATTTTATTACGCGGACGCGAAACGAAGGAATCTGAAACGTGTTGTTTCACATTCCGACACACCCGTGCGTGGATATTAATTTGAATTGCTTTTATGACAGAACAACACCCATTTGTTTGCACGACTTATTTCTAAATCGATGGGCGAAAAAACTTCTCGATGCGAGGGATGAAACAAGTTGTATTTTTAATTACCAGTTTGTTTGCAGTGTGCAATTAGAAACCTGTGTCTGACTATCCCGTTGCATAGAAATTGTGAAGCTGCAGTGAATGTAACTAACAGTCTTATCGATTATATTTGTAATGAACGCCATCTTCGTACATGTGTCTAAAAACCAAAACATTAAAATGTGTGTAAACTGTAATTCTTACGTGAGTCTGAAGATTTGTCTTCTGGGTTGTTGCGCTGTGTAGTCTGGTCGATGTTAACCAACGTTTCAGAGGTCATACTGCCTCCGTCATCAGGGCGATGAATATGCCAATAGGGTGTGAGGTGCTGGGTTTATAGGCCGGGAAGTGAAAGGTGTAGCTTGCCCCGAGCCAATGGCAGCAGGCATGGGAGTGGACCAATGGTAGCACGTGGGCGAGAGTGGGAGAGAAAGTAGAGAAAGTACCTTTAGCCCTGTACTTGTAGGGTGTGAAAGGTGGAGTACTCCACAGTCTGTTCTATTCACCAATCATTATTAGGACGATCAATTCAAGGAGGATGAGATTGGCGGAACATGTAGCACACACGGGAGATAAGAAATGATTTCAAAATATTTCTCGGGGAAACTTTAGGGAAGAGATCACGTGAGAGACAAATGTGTAGATGGAAAGATAACGTTGAAAGTGATCTTGAAGAAATATTGGTAAGGAGTGGTCTGGACTGTTTTGGACCAAGACGTGGTCCAATGGCGAGCTCTTGTGAACACGATATTAAACCTGTGGTTACATGCACAGCGGAGAATTTCTTGATTAGCTGAGCAAGGTCTCTGCGCAATGCAGTTATGTGCTGCTGTGAAGTTCTCTATTATTTAAGCGCAGAACAAAGTAGAATTCTTGGGATAATATTAAAACTGGTGAGTATTCAAAGGACAGACAGCAGTCGTCTTGGTTACGTGACCTCTACCGTAGGGCGGAGGGGCGTGGAAAAAACAGTTGTGGGGGGTGTTCTCTGATGGGACTGAGGAAAACCACGGAAAATATGACCGGTCTCTGCTCTGTACCCGGGAATTAGCGAATACGAAGCCGTAATCAATGTTGTTTGTTATTGCGTACAGCGTGATTAAGTTTGCAGCAAAAGAATTGGAGACTTAGGGGACAACTGTTCAAACGTTCAGTACTGCGTGCGGGCCTGTTGTTTATGTATTTGTCTGTCGGTCCACAACATGGGACTTCTCCTTTCGCACGGAAGGATTTAGCTGTGTCTGCAGTACCACAGGCTGTGTGTGCGGGGCAGAAATCGAATGTCATTGATTGAATTGTTGGGAGGGGGCGGAGTCGCACCGGCACGCAGATTCTGAGAACCCATTGTCGATTACAGGACCTGCTTTTTCATATATATATCCAGTTATGTATCGGAGGTAGAATATCACATAATGACGTATTTCGTGTTTTACGAAGGTGACATAGTAATGTCAGAACAGTTACATGCATGAAGTTTCGATGCGTGCAGAATTTCGTATGGGAAATCTGTTTCGGAAGTGGATTGAACTGGGGCAGATTCGTGTTCGGTGCTGTTAGTTTCTTGAAGGAGCAGAAGTTTAATGCAGTTTTATTTGGTAGGCCATCACGTATGCATAGATCTTTAACAAGTACGTAGGTACGAAACTGCTTAGTTACTCATCGCCCTGATGGTGGAGGCAGCAGGGATCTTCTGCAACATACTACGCGACGCTACAGTCGGAAGATAGCCACTTGGAATAGATATGTTTCGAATGAATAATTAACTTTCCAGAGGGACTTGTTTCCTAGGCAGTTTAATGTCATCGTTTCAACGTGGCTTGTAATGAGATGAGGCCACTTCGAAATGTAAATTCGTAAAAATTGGTGACCGAGGAATTTTTGGAAAGCTCCAGGTAGAAGTTCAGAACATCATAATGCGGAACTCTGTTTACCATTGCTGCAGCGATGACAGACGCACGCAGTTTGATGCGCCATTGGGCTGTTTCAAGGGACGCCTGGGAGTCCATTAAGTGCCATGGCTCTCGGGGAACACTGCATTACGAGCTGCGTGTTTGAAGTCACAAGGAACCTGACCGAGTAACTAAGTTGTAAGCAAATTTTGCCTTTGAGAAACAGACCCCTAGACGTGAACAGTGTCTCGCGGTCCCCGGTAGCGTCAGACATCTAACAATTTACCTTTCAGACCACATTACGTCATGGACTCTTTTGTGTGTATACTGCATACAGTATAACGGGCCAGATGTTGGTTGACGTCCGCTACTCATCTTTTCAGTGGCGGCTCGTAAATATAAGTCCATATCAGTAGTCAAGAAACTAACCGTGGTATCAAAGCTACCTGGCGGATTCCCCACCCATTCAATTTAAGGGACAGAAACGCATGTTAAGTGTCAGTTATTGTTGTCCAATGTAACTAAAATTTGAATGTGTCGACAATTTAAGCAGAACTCTCGAGTATCGAATTTTATTAAGAACCGTTGAACCGTTCTCTAATTAATTCATGCGTGCAGACGGACGAGGCGATTTTATTGGGATGAGAAAGCGCCTGAAAGTTCTATGTATAGGCCTATGGTCATTTCCGTATGTCAACGCATTGTGAGTAACAGTGGGATACGTAACTTGTGTAGTTATCCAGAAGTGGAATAGGCCTGGCTGCAAATTGATGATGGCAAAGAGAGACTCTAAAATAAAGAAACAACAAACAGTGTATGGATTTTTATTAAAAATGCAGAAGGAAATACGAGCATGGCTTAGGAATTCCGCTTTAAAGCGACTAACTTGAACACGACAGTTAAATCAAGTCGTAAAAACCCCTCACAGTGAAATCTGGATGTTGCCTGCG